CCCCAAAACCCCAAAACCCCAAAACCCCAAAACCCCAGTTTTTCTTTATTTATTGAAAGATTAAGAGTTTCAGTACCTTCATCAACACTAAGTGAATGTTAAACTTCGTGAAAGAGTCCTGAACCTTACTAGATAAGGTAAGAGATAGGTTGCTGAAGCATGAATCTACAGAAGCATCAGATGGTTCCTGAGTTTTCCAAATTGCTTCTGTATTAGTAGCAAGATCGTCTTCAACACTTTTCATAATGCCTTTCAGATGTACCTCAGGGATACTTCTGATAGCTTCCTGCTTTATCCCATTTCATGCTTCAAGACTTTGTTCTAAAGTTGATATCATTTCTGGGTAAATTTCCTAAAAATTATAGAGATTACTACCTTTGAGAAATTCTGAAAGGATTTTAGCAAAGCTTCACTACTTATTTTCTGTCTAGTTGGTGCTTTGCTCTCAGAGTTCTCTGATGTCAAGGAGCGATCCTCTACTAGGAGAGGAACAACTGTTTGAAAAAGCTGCTCCTGTATTTCTAAAAACGCATCTTCATCATCGATATAGTCATTATTAGGTAAGATTCCATCTGAGGATTCTAGGTAAAGTTCTGACATCTGTGAGAAAATCTGAGAGAATTTCTTTTTGTCTTCTTGGCACTGTTTAAAGTCTTCAATTACTGCATCAACTTCGTATAAATATTGCTTGTATAATCTCTCAACTTTATTTATCCTTAGATGCGCCTAACAACATAGGATGCTTCATATGAAACTTCTTGGAAGGAAGTTTCTGAGCTTCTTGCAAGAAAGCTTGCACCTGGGTTGTAAGAATCTTCTTGCAAACTCTATGCTTTCTCTTTAGAACATTTTTATATTTTTCATGCTCAATATCAATTCGTTTATGAATAGCAGGAGGGCATCCCTCTAGTTTAGAAATTTCCTTCATATCCTTGGAAAGTTGTTGATCAACTTCATCACTGTATACTTCAAGCCAAAGGCTGTTGTCAGACTCTAAGTCTAGGCTTAATGCTTCCAAGACTCTTTTGTTTTTGTGCATGAAGCCTTGGTTAAACAAATCGGTATAGTCGATCACCATTGATCAGATATATTCAGCTGGAGCTGTATTATCCATCAATAAAGGCGAATTGTTGAAAATCAGGAAGGAATTTACCATTTCTATCTTAAAATTTTCTGAAGCTTCAGTTATTTTAGATTGTTCCTCCATTAAGTTAGGTAAAGGAGATAGTCCAACTTGGCTCTGCAGAGAAGACAGCACGAGAACGTAAGCCAGATCGAGGGGATCTGATATTTTTGAAACCGAAAATTGGTCCAAATATGGGATTATTATATCAAAATACTCCATTTTTTACAAAATTTCAAAAAATTGTGCAAAAATAGGGGTTTTGGGGTTTTGGGGTTTTGGGG